GTGTGTGTGCTCATGAACTCTTAATAGCTGTCACTGTGGTCGTTAGTGTTAAGAGAAAGAAGAGATTATTTCGGGAAGTCGATAACAAGAGTTGCTTTGAACACGCCTTTAGAGATAAAAAGTCAATACGAGACTGAGAGTGTTATTTGTAAAAAAAAATTAAGAGTGAAAAGCAACCAACTCACCGTCGTTGTTTCGAAAAAAAAATATCCCATGATTTTGAATGGCATTTTTGCTAGTTTCGTTGCTATGCGCGAGAACGCACGCTACCGGCACTGCATCCAGAAACCCGGGACCGCCACAGCCGTGGGGGGGGGGGGGGGGGGGGTGGGGGGGGGGGCCGGGGGGGGGGCGGGTCCAGGGATGGCGGCTTAACCAAGTAATCGATACCTTTAGGCCGCTTTCACGAGCGCCAACAAAGTTACGGGGGGGCGTGGCGGGGCGGGGCGGGGGGGGGGGCGGGGCGTGGCGGGGCGGGCGGGCGGGGCGGGGGGGGGGCGGGGGGGGGGCGGGGCGTGGGGTGGCGGGGCGGGGCGGGGGGGTGGCGGGGCGGGGCGGTGGGGGGCGCCGGGCGAAGGGGTGGGGCGCCTCTGCGCCGTTCCGCTCCGTTCTGATCTGATGCCCATCTCGATCTAGATCCACCGTAAGGAAGTGGCCGACCACTCGAGAGTCCAGCGCGCTGCAGGCCCGGGTTCGAGTACCGGCGCCGCCTTAATCTCTCCGTTGCTTTTGTTTTTCAGTTTGATTTACGAGAAACCGCGTGCGGCATTCCCCGGGCCGCTTCGGGTGGTTCGGTGGTTCGATTCCCGGCGCGACCGTCTATTTTCCCCGATGGATGGCCTCGCTGACCGACACGCGGCCGAGAGGCCCGAAAGGGTCACTCCGCATGAAAGTGTATGAAAAAGTTGTCGGCGTTGAAAGGCGGAGGCGAGGCGCGCCCCCATGATAAATGCCCGTTCGGGTACATATGGAAGATGCACGCCATTTCAATATAGGAATCGCGAATAAACGCGCCGCACTGGCAGGGCCTGCAGGGCCGCGGCATTTGAATAAAAAAGCGCTTCTGGCACAAGGTTAACGTTTGAAGCGTTCCGTCGAATAACATACAAGGAGACGGGGCTCCGCAGATATACATAATGTATGGGGGATGGCGGGGGCGGGGACCTTGCGCCAGGCGTGCCAATCCAAGACACACTTGCAAGGTAAATAATTTTTGAAAAATAAATAAATATTGCATTTGTTTTGTGGCCTTGCGGTGCCGAACCTGACAAGATGATATTTTCTTGGAAAAGATACCCCCCCCCCTAAGTCACCACATGGACATTTTGTTGCTCCCCTCAGCCCGAACCTTGACCCAAACCTGGACCTGCAAACCTCAGTTCGGCCCAAACCTTGACCCGAACCTCCATCTGAAAACGTTCGCTTAGCTCGAACTTGGACCCGCAAACCTCAGCTCGAACCTTGGGCTGAACTTGGACCCGCAAACCTCGGCCGAACCTCGCGCCGCCCCTCAAGTGTAACGACGGCAAGGCCGGGCAAGGCCGGGCAAGGCCGGGCAAGGCCGGGCAAGGCCGGCGGGGCGTTTTGCCGAGGAAACCGGAGGAAACGGCCTGTTCCCACTCGGCACGACTCAAGTTCAGGAGTAAAAGAATGCCCCGTGTTATTGCTGTGTGTGATAGAGACGGATAGAGCGGGATAGAGCGGAAAAGAGAGAGCGCGCAAGATAGAGAGCGGGGAGAGAGGTCGTACGTGCGCCGGGGTCTCCCCGAGGGCTCTCTCTCTATATATCTAACTTTGTAGCATTTGTTCGCGCGGTCGCAGAAATGTGTAAGCTCTCCCACGGAGAGAGCATGCCGAGGGTGGGGGCTTGAAGGGGGTGGGGGCAGGGGGCGCCACAAATCCCTGCTTGCCCCGAGCCCTAAGCCCGTGTCCCACTAATTTGCATATCAAATAAGTTAGTTATGTTTATATGGAGGTATGAGAACCTCGGCGCTCCTCTGAACGCGAACCAACTACTGCACAGTTACACTATGTGACCTCGTGCAAGCGTTGTCCGTCCTGGCAGGCCGAGTTTGTGGAAAAAATGGTGCGATGTTGAAATGTGGCGTGAATACGACTCGTCGCTTCTTATCTCCGGAAATTAATCCCAACGTCGATTAGTTGCAGGCGAAGTGTTGCTGCAACGCGCGTCGTCATCGTGAGGCCTCGTGTCGTCAGGAGACGAAATGCCGGTCGAAATTCTGATTGTCAGCCTGGCACAGCACATTAGGGGGCAAAAAGTACGGTCTGGTCAACAACAGTAATTTTCGTGGAGCGTCCAAACATGCCAACTACAGAAAGCTTTCGTACATATTTCCGTTAACATGAGTTTGTATGGAGCCAGTACGGCTGTTTTGTACTTTTTCCGTGTTTCCATGCTCTTTTCTTCTGTACATTTCCCTCACTGAAGTACGGAACCTTTCACAGTGCTCATCCTTAAGGATCTGCAGAATGCCATACCCGTTATTGTTCCGCCAAACCGAATCCCTCTTTTTCCGCTGCTAAATTACGAATGTATGACGCGTTCGTTACTCACACAAATCCCCACAAATCTGGGCCTCGGTTTAACTCCGACTTCCTTTGCAGCATGTGGCGACGCCTGGAGAATTCAACGCACGCCAGTGCAGAGCGGAGCGCTGCCTGGAGCACATGGCCCTATAGCTCACCAATGTTGTTCTGCTTTTCTCTAGTAAGTACCTAGCTAGTACCTAGGTTTGAGTAGAATGTTATTATTGCTTTTGTTTACCAATTGGTCCAATTTTCAGCCATTGAGTGTCCCGAGGAAGGATCAATTTTGTTATAAAATATTTCTGATACTCATAATGCCGTGTGATGTGCAACCTCCAATGTGAGACTTCCCTAAATCGACAACATGACGTGAAGCAGCACGATCGGGTATCACTCTTTTCCGAACTGTCCGGTGAGAAACCAGAAGCACTCCCACCGAGTCAATTAGGACAAGGAAGTCAAATAGGGTAAAAAGGTCGAATATGGCAAGAAAGTCAAATGGGACAAGAATGTCAAATAGGGCACGCAAGTTTAGTAGGACGAGACAGTCAAATAGGACCGGAAAGTCAAATGGGGCAAGAAAGTCAAATAGGAAGTCAAATAGGACAAGGAAGTCAAATGTTCCCCGGAGCTCTCGCGGTCAAAACACGGCTCGGCGGCGAATTAATGGTCGGGTCGGTAAGGCCGCGTAATGGCTGGACCAGATCGGACCGGATGGGCTTAGCGAAGAGCTGCCGAAGAGCTCGCCTTACCGACCAATTGATTAAAAAGTGGGGCTCGTTCCTTTTTTTCGTGGTGGGACCGTTATTGGATCTGGTCAATGCTGGTCGAAGCTGGCAAGGCATGTGTGCGGGGGGGAGGGGGTAGAATCAGGGCGACGAGATGAAACCATTGGAGTCAGTTATTTTGATCTACTTTTACTTTTAACGTTTCGAAAATGAACGAGTATTTTTTACGTTTTTTCCCTCCTGTTCTTTTGTCCCAATTTAAATTTCCTGTGCGTGCCGCACCGCCGCGCAGCCACATTCTCAAGGACCGTCCCAGGGCTGGCGCAGGCTGGCGTGGCCCAGGCCTGGCCGTTGCCGCGGCAACACTCGCTGGACGGTGTTTGTGGAGCCATTGTTATGTAGATGGAGCGGATAAACAGATTACAAGATGAAGGATGCGTCCGCCACCCCCTGGCGCCCCGCCGCCCCCGCCCGGCCGCCACCCCCGGCGCCCCACCCGGCCGGCCCGCCCCCAGCCGCTAACGCCCCCAGTTCATATTTCGGGCCGGCCGGCCTATGCAGCGCAGTGCGTACGTTAGACCTGCGCCGCCCCCTGCCGCCCCCGCCGCCCCTCCCCGAGCATAAATTAGACTGGTGGGGCCCCGCGTGGCCCGGGGGTGGTTCGAGGAAGGGGTAGCTCAGCGCCGCGCTCACAAATTACCATTTCCTAACGGAGAGGCACGTGGAAAAGGTAGCGGTTGGCGATGTGAGGAGGGTACCGTCTTGGGCCAGAAGACCGATGGAGGCGGTCAAAACCCTGGACGCGTTTTGAGCTGCAGAGTCGCTTAGCGCGACTCGAACCGAACGCGTGACCAATGCGTATGGATAAAAAGGAAAGAAGATTGAGGAAGAAAAACGAAGTTTATTTGTGAGATTCGAACCCGGGACCACAAAATTACGTCGCGCAGCGCAACACGGTGGGCATTGGAATACTCGTGCCTACGTGATCGGTGGAGTGAGATGAGAGTGTTTGCTTTCGGCGCCCTCCCTCTGTCTCGCTCTGTCTCGCTCCCCCGGCCGATCACTGCTTAGCTAATGCGTGCGGTGCTGCTCACTTTGGGTGCAAGCGAGCCCAGGGGGTGCAACGGAGACGACGCTTCGGGGTGACCCTCGAGTACACTGCGCAAACAGATGTCCCAGATTTTAATAACGATTTAATAAATGCGGGGCTATGATTGGCTGGTGTGCCACATGGCGCCTCGGAGGGCCAACGAGAGGGGAGGCCTTATACATATGTATGGGCGAATGTGCTGCTGGTGTAATGTGCGTCGTTAAGGGAGGCAGTGCCCCTTGAAGAGGGTCGGGGCGTGGGCGTATGGCCGAGGGGAGGCAGACGCACAGCGCCCAGCTTAACAATCAAAACTGTGACAGGATTCGTGGGAATGTTTTCTCTGTCTCTGTCATGCATACTGCCATGCATGCCACGTGTCGTCGGTGTGCTGCAGATGCTGAGTAAACAGGGTCTTTTTTGCGGCCCCTTTTCCATTGCGGGTTCGAGAGGCGCGCGTGGCGCCTTCAATAAATGAAACAAAGCCGATTTCAGAACAGTGTTTTTCTTTTTAATTCAAAATTCTAGACAAGAAGAGCGCGTAGTCCGAGTGCCAGTTGACAGGGTGGGCTGGAGGGGTCGGCATGAAAATAAGACTATTCATCTAAGACGATGAAAACGAAATAAAATACACGTCATTATAAATTCCTGTTTTCCTTTTTTGTACTAATTAACTTACAATAATCATTTACTTTAAATTACATCAATAATATGCCTCTTAAAGATGACTATTTACATTCAAATATTGCACATTCAGTTTCAGTACAAGAAATATATTCAGGCGGATCACATGGTGCCCCCGGGTGTCCGTCGGACTTGTCCGTCCAAGGACATAGCCTAGTCCAGCAGCGATTTTGACCGGGAAATTTAGTTTTGGGATATATACAAACTGCATTGGGATTTATTTCAAGGGTATTACTCCCCCATACTGGAGTTTTTCTAAGTGCTGTACCACATCAGCGGACATTTTAGGTGTTCGTAAGAAAACAAAATTAAGAGCACAAACCTATCCAAACGAAACATTTTTGAAGTTTGCTTTTAGTTGATAAAAGGTGTGCTTGTTTACCCTGTTCTCATATTAACAACACTTTCACGAGCTCAAAATTAAAAAGTTGACGCTTGGTCTAGTGTCTCCCAACTGGGTAAAGTTTCATTACAATATTTTTTTAAAACGGCCCAGAAACGTTACTTGCCCCATTTCAACCCTTAAACACAATCTTGCCTTAATCGACTAACGAATATCATCTTAACTTTACAAAACACAATCACAGACCGGCACTACCGCCACACAAGAATATTTTCTTTACATTTTGTTTTTGGTATCTCATGGTACACTAAACTTATACTTTGAGCCAGCACCAAACGGATGTCAATATCTTGATATAAATTAAACCACAGCTAGGCGAGGTCTAAAACGGACGACCAGAAAAAACAAAACAGTTTAACATCGCGGTGCGTGGCTGCAAAAGACTAGATAAAGACTGACTGGGAGCGCGCTGAGGTGGCAACTATTTATTCAAAGTCCACACGCTTCTGGCATCATACTAGATACAATTTAGATGAAAAAAACATAAAAACAAACAACGTGTCTGCGACAGACTTAGTAAATGCCCAAACAATCGAAGGAAAAAAAAAGCTCGACGAAAAGAAACGAACCAAGAACGAATTGATTCTCATTTCCGATGAGGGGAACGTTTTCCGGCAGAGCTCTCGTTCTCAGCGCCTTGAGGTCAGCACGAAGTCTCCCCCACGTAAATATTCTCGTCAACCACAGGGCCCTGTTGACAAAATACATCCGTTCAACGTGGAGCGTCGGGGTGGCGCAGAGAAGGCACAGACACAGTCAGGTTGCGAGGGGCACAGCGCCCTCGATTTTATTTGGACTAGAAAATCACCGCGACCGTCAAACTCTTTCCCGCGATCGAGGCACAATCGTTTCATCAGCGAAAATAGTATCTCTGTCATGGATCGGTTAGTGAAAGTGGTGCGCTCAGGCGGGAGTTAGTTGAGTCTAAGATTGTTAAAATTTTGAAACAAAAACGTAAACATGTTGTTGACTGAAATGCACGTTCACACTCGGAAAACGCTTTCTACCCCTCAAAAGAGAAAAAAAAAACACCAAACAAAACAAAAACGTATTTAAAACAAGAAATTTTAGGACTACTACCGAATCACAATTTATTGGAATCACCCTCGATTCAAAGTCAACGTTCTGAGTCTGAATGTTGAAACAGTCTTTGAAAAAGAGAAGCGTTTGCCGAATGCGGTGCCCCTGCCGGGGCATGCCTCGAGAGAAAGGTAAGGTTAGGCGCGGTCGGCGTACTGGCACGCAGACAGCCCCGAGGTGCCCACACTGACCCTGGCGGCGTGCGCGGACGGGCTGACGGCCGGGTACGACCCCACGGAGAAGGCGCCCGACGAGTGCTGCTTGGCCTTGAGGCGGAGCTGCGCGATGGAGGACATGGAGCAGGGCTCGCCCGCCGACCGGTACATGGAGTGCTCGTAGTAGCAGCCCGCGCCGCCCACGCCGACCGAGCCGGCAGACGCGCCCAGGCTGCTGGACATCATGGAGCCCGCGCTCACGCTGCTCGCCGACGCCGGCGTGAAGCAGTTGACGGACGACTGGTGCGGCGTGCTGGGGACTCCTGCGGCAAGGACGGCAAACACTCAGTTTGAACAGGTCGCAAGGAGGCGAAAAAGGTCTTCAGTGGGCCAGAAGACCGGTGGAGGCGGGCAAAACTCTAGACCCGTTTTGGGCTCCAGAGTCACTAAATGGAGATCGAACCGAACGTGTGACCCCACCAATGGATTGCTCTCCGAACGAGGAGTCCATTGGTGGGGTCAAAAGCTCGGTTCGCGTTCTGTTTGGCGACTGTGGAGCTCAAAACGCGTCTAGAGTTTTGACTGCCTGCGCCGGTCTTCTGGCCCACTGTGCTCTTAAAAAGGGGCTCACCCAGGGGGTTGACGGGCCAGGGGAAGGTCTTGGCGCCGAGCGGCGACGGCACCTTGGAGGCCCAGTTGTTGTAGGAGTAGGACGAGTAGAGGGACTCGGGGTCCGTGAAGGGCTGCATGAAGCCGTTGAGCTGGCTGCCCACCAGGCCGTTCTTGAAGTCGGCGGCGGCGGCGGCCGCGGCGCTCATGGCGTTGCGCTCCCGCTTCCGCCACTTGGCCCGCCGGTTCTTGAACCACACCTGCAACAGGGGCGCCTCGGGCATCAGTCAAGGGGGTCCTTCCGTCGCGGTGTACACTGCAAAGTGGTTCGGAAAATGTTCTGAAATTTTTCAGAAAATTTTCGGAAAATGTCCGGAAAATATTTGGAAAATATTCAGAAAATGAGGTACTGAAAAAGTATGGACTTTCAGCATTGGTACGGAGAGCATGCACGGACGGTCCAGGTAAAAAATTGACCTGACCCGGTCCTTCCTTTCTCTGCTCTGTACTATTTGTTTCTACGAGAGTAGGCCGGGTGCGGGGCGGCGGCCTGGCCTCGGGCCTGGCGTGGCCGCGGTACACCGACTCCCGCATGGTTGTCAGAGAAGACACCAGGCAGGCCGAGGCAGAGAGGCTGCACAAGGACCCGGAGTCGTTCATCTTCCGGTGTCACCGTTCAGGACAGGGCCCCGGCGCCGTGCCGTGGCGGCCGTGGCGGCCGTGGCGGCGTGGCCGGGGAGCCCCTGGGGGAGCCCTGCAGGGAGGGGCGCATGTCAGTAGCCATCACGCGGGGCATTTGTTACGCCGTGGCGGGCGGGGCGGGGCGGGGCGGGGCGGGGCGCGGTGGGCGGGGCCTTATGGTGGGGCGCTGCAATGAGGAGCCCCTCCCCCTTCATTAACTGATGATGAATCACCCGGCCAGTCTCGGCCAGTCATGGCGGCCCGGAGGTGGAGGTTAGGCCCGCCTTGGGTTGCCTCGGGTTTCCTTCGGGCCGCCTCGGGGGAAAGTTAGGGGCTTCGAGCTGTAGCGAGTGATTCTTGAACGCGGCCCCCGCCACCCCTTCAACCCCGTGCCGCCAAACTTTGCCGTCCCGACGCGGGGAGTCCGTTTTGTTTGCCGTGCCGTGCCGCCTCCACCTACCGCCGGGATTTCCACCCTCATTCTTATTTTCCTCTCCCCGCCGTCAGCTTCCATTTCCCTAACTCCGTCTCTGTTGTTATATATAAAAGGGAAAGAAACAGAAAGAAAGTTTTGTTCCTCGCGCTGCTGCCGGCGCTGGCAGTGCTGCTGCCAGTGCGGGCGCCGCGCGGGCCGCCGCGCAGAGTCCGCGCTCCGCGCCGCGCGCTGCAGCCCCGGGACTATATTGAGTCCTGCTCCCGGAGAGTTTTGAGGTCGGAGCGCGCGCGGGCTGGGGCGGGGCGGGGCGGGGCGGGGCGGGGCGGGGCGGGGCTGTAGTCTCCTTATTTCTGCGCCTCCCCGCGTCCCCCTGACTGGCCCGGGCTGTCCCTAATCCTTGCCGCGGCGGGCCCTTGGCAGCCCTGGGCGGCCCTCCGCCCCACTGCAAGGCCCTCAGCCACCCCGCTCTCCGACCTATTCCCAGAGGCGCCCGACTCGGTAGGCAACCCATCTGCCTCGGCCGCCCGTCTGTCCGTCTGCCTTCTTTCTGCCTGTCCTTCTGCCCGTCTGTCCTTCTTTCTGCCTGTCCTTCTGCCCGTCTGTCCTTCTTTCTGCCTGTCCTTCTGCCCGCCTGTCCTTCTTTCTGCCTGTCCTTCTGCCCGTCTGTCCTTCTTTCTGCCTGTCCTTCTGCCCGTCTGTCCGACCGTCTGATTTGAAACTAGAAAACTTTGCCGCGTGCTGCCGGCGTGGCGTGAGCGTGGCGTGCCTGGGACGTGAGCGTCTCAAAAACTTTTGGTACCGCTTCTTGTTTCGCGCTCTGCCGCGTGGAATCCCCTCGACGGCCCCTCTCCTCCCCTCCCCCTCCCCCTTCCCCTCCCCTTATGCTTCTGTCGTGGCCAACGATCCGTTTAATTGTCCTTCCCCACAATGAAGACAGACGATGGAGCGCGCTCCTTCCCTCTCCCCTCCTCCCCTTCTCCGTCCCTCTCCGTCCCTCCCCTTCTCCCTCTTTCTCCTCCTCCTCCTCCTTCGGCGCAGCAGCAATACGTTGGCGATCCGACGGGACGGCAGCAGCTAGGCGTGCCGTTATTGTGCCTATTTGGGAATAATGTGTTGTGCGCTTTTAGACTTCATCTCTCTCTCTCCTCTCTCTCTCTCTCTCTCTCTCTCTCTCTCTCTTCTTTCTTTTTCCCACTTCTAAAACGCTTAATGAGACTCGAACCAAGACCCCACCAATGGATTGCTTTCTGAACGAGGGATCTATCGGTGGTGTGGTGGTGTGACACGTTCGGTTTGAGTCCTGCTTAGCGACTCTGGAGCTCTCACGCGTCTAGAGTTTCGGCCGCCTCCACCGGTCTTCTGGCCCACTGTGCGAGAGCGAGCAGCAACAAGTCAGTGAAAGACGAACGGCGAGATGAAACGAAGGCGGAAACGCTTGAATAGGAATGCGTGGTTGGAGGGGGTGAGTTCAGTTAGCGCGGTTAGGGGTGCTTGGGCAAGGCCGGGCAAGGCGGCAGGCGCGCGCGCCGGGCCGCCGGGCCGCCGGGCGTCGGCGCGTGTCAGACCGTGGCGAACCACAGCGGTGCGTGCGCCATGGCGTCGCGTGGGCGTGCACGCGTGCCTTTATTTACCGATCACGGCCCCCCGCGGCGCCTCCTCTCTCTCTCTCTCTCTCTCTCTCTCTCTCTCCCTCTCTCTCTCTCTCACGAAAAGTACCGCACGCGTAGTAGTATTCTTCGCCCCGCCGGTTCGACGCTCTCCCTTGTGTGTGTATGTGTGTGTGTAGGTGTGTGTGTGTGTGCGACTGTGACTGCAGCGCGCTGCAGCAGCGAGCAGGAACACGACGATAAAACCGTCGGCCGCCAAATCTCCCTACGCCAATCCCATTACACCTTCCGAGCGCGGCACCCCTTTACAGGCAATTAAGCCCGTCATTTCTCCTGTCTGCGTTCGGCATCAACACACACACACCCACACAGCGAGAGAGACACAAACGCACACACCCCTACTCATACTTGTCACACTGATACCTCCCCCCCTCCCCCCTCACACACACATACAAACGAGCAGCCGTCGGTGTGTTTGGGAAGTAACTCATTTCACCGATACCCGGTACCCCCCCCCTATTTTTTTTCGCACGGCCCGTAGTCAACATCCCGTAGTCAAGTAGTCAAGCGTACTTTTATTCCTTCTCGCCTTTCATAGCTGCGTGACCTCAATAGATTGCCAATGGGTGCGAGAGAGACAGGCAGTGTGGACTCTCTCGCTTCCGGCGCCATTTGAACGCGTTGCGTGGGAATCCGCCGCGCCGAACGCATAGGAGCCGCAGCAGCAGCGCGGTGCGGCCCACAGCCATTCAATTGAAATCAAACGTTTAATTAAATTTCGATAATGGTCGTTCCCTCCGGGCCGCGGGAGGTGGCAGTGCCGTGGTGTCGCCATCTGGCGGCAAATTTATTCATGGTGTGGCGCCAATACGCACGCACGCATTGTTTCTCTTTTGTTGTTGTTTGCCTTTTTTCCATCCCTCGGACGCGCAGAGGCGGTCTAGGCGGCAGGGAAATGGCGATAAAACAACCCGTCGCACTCTCTCTGGGGTCTCCATTAACTAACTCACTCGCCTAGTATTGCGCTCATTAAAATTCTCATAGCCCTGTCGCGAATCGCAACGGCAATAAAGCGCTGCATCAATCAGACTCTTTCAATCACTGCACCACGCTGGCACGCCCTGGCACACCCTGGCACGCCCTGGCCGTGGCACTCACCAGATTAAGGCGTCGGCCTTCCCTGCTGCTAGAGGCAGTGCAGGCACGTGCTGGCACCAACCATTGCACTGTTATTAAGTTTACAATACCCGCTGTATTTAAAAAAATAGATCGAAAAACAAAAACGCAAATTTTCTGCACTGAAATCGAAAGTGAGGTGAATTTATCTCATTTTGGCTGAGGTGAGACCTGAAATGTGGTTACCTCGTTCTACCCCACGTAAAGTGCAAATGTGGCAAGAATTACACTCCTTCAAAAAAGTGGTGTATAAGCCTATAATTTAGCCGTTACATCATGTATTGCGTGGTCAAGACCACCCTTTTATAAGGTATAGAGGATAGACCACATATTTGCTGTGATATTCTCCATGGTTTTTAAGTGGTAGTATGCTGACGACCACTGATTTTCAGGGGTATTGACCGCATTTCCGCGTGTGGTGAATTCGAGTAACTACAGTTTTGCGCCTACCACACATTTGTAGTCTGTACCACACTTCGAAAAGGACAGAGTGAGCACAATTTTTCGCAAAGTGTCTAAAGCCGTTGTCCCGCTTTTCCGGCCCAAGATCGAAATTAATTACGAACAGGGCAACATGCCAGGTGGGTCGCTGGAGTGTGTTTGCGGCAGGAATCCCAGCGGAGCGCTGGAGAGAGAGAGAAGGGGGGGGGGGGGGTCAGGACAAGGCACACAACTCTGATCCCCTCCCCGGGCCTTTCCCTGTTTGGCGCGTACGACCCACAGTGACGGTAGGGTGAGATTCGCGGGGGGATGTTCTGACAGATAAGGCAGTGGTCCCGCCGTAGAGAGGCGCCTCTCTTCCGCGCCTGGAGAGAAGCGAGAGAACCGCCTCGGCACACTGGAGAGAGACAGAACCAACCCTCTGCCTCGCACCGGCGCCCAGTCTGGGGCCGCACACGCAGTATCCACACGCGGGGGCGGAAAAAAGGAGTGTGCGAACGAGAGAGGTTGCGGCTTAGCTGTACACACACGCGTACACACACGCACACACACACACACACACACACAACGTACACCCATGCGCACAATATGCACAAACCAATCACCCTGCTCAAACACGCGAGGGCGCGTGGTGTATGTGTCCGTAATCGGATGCACCCACGCACTACAGCAGGGTTAGCCTGCTCGCGCGCGCGTGTGTGTGTGTTCTCTATTTCACGCGTGTGTATGTGTGTGCGCACTTATGTCTCCCATTATAGTCATGCCTATCGCTGCCGCGTGTTGTGTGTGTGTGTGTGTGTGTTGGCTGCATTGATTGGAATGCCGCTCAGCGCGCGGATTAGGCCCCACACTCTGCACACCATGCCATCATATCGGAGTCCAAATTCCGAGGCAGACCGGTGGATACCGAATACGACGGCCACGCGACGTCCGGCCATGCGACATGACGTCACAGTGACGTCACGGCAGCCAGCCAGGTTGTTCTTGCGTTGTTCCCCGTGTGCGAAAGCCTACCTTGCTGGGGCGCAGAGAGAAAGTAGTTTTCCCCAATGAAACTTTGGCGTCCTTTGAATCCCGTTTCGATTCGCGCCCCCTCCAACTTCCTCTCTCTCTCTCTCTCTCTCTCTCTCTCTCTCTCTCTCTCTCTCTCTCTCTCTCTCTCTCTCTCTCTCGCACTGCTTTGTGGACTGAGCCCAGGCAGGGCGCTGGCTGGGACTGGCTGGAGGACCAACAACACAGCACGCACAATCCACTCTCAGATGGAACACAACGTTTCTCTCCCAGCTTCCCGCGACCCCCGCCCCGCCCCAGCCCCGCGCACACTCGCCTCTCTCGCCCCCTCTGTCTCAGAGAAAGCAATAAATCTGCTGCGGTGGGCTGGGGGGCGCGCACCCAGTCGCTTGGCACCCACAGCCCCACCGCACCCCGCCCCGCCCCGCCCCGCCCCGCCCCGCCCCGAACGCCCCGCCGCCACCACGCTTCGCAACGTATCAGCGAAGGCCTGCTGCTTCCTCCGCCACGGTCTCCATCTGGGGGCGCAAACCGAGGACCCACAGCCCCACCACACACAGGAAGTTACAAAAACTACTGAAACTTTAAAAAAATACACGGTTTGCAACTCTCTCTGACTTTCGCGCGCAAAACCCAAACAACTAACGGTTGGCGAGAACAGCTCGACTTGACTAACTTAGGCGCGTGAAATACGAAACAAAAAATTTGCAGTGTGCGCGCGCGTGCGTGTTCACACTCCCCGATTGATCGAGCAGGGCAATCTGTGTGCGGAGGGTGGCCACCCTGGTCCGTCCCGGTCCATCCCGGTCCACCCCACACCCTTAATGAATGTCCGATCGCCGGCCACTCGGCTTGTTTACAAGCGGAAGCAGTTGCGGGGAGCGGTCGGCAGACCCATTCCGACTGTCGTTTTCGTCGCTCTGTCTCTCTCGAACCTGTGCGGGACGCCCCATGTAAGTATGAGAGACAGAGCGACGAAGATCGACTCTCGGAACCAGTCTACAGAGAATCAGCGTCCGAGTGTCTGCATGCATGCCTTGCCTTACAGGTCCGACACCTACGGAAAGTTAAATGGAGTGTAAGAAATCGCGCCGGGTTGAACGCAGACATCCACACTGAAAACTTAAGTGTGTCCTGAGTACACACGTAGATCACTTAAGCCTGTACTGAGCCGAGTACGCACATACTAGAGCACTTGAGTGTGTACCGAGTACATACTGAGGTTTTCAGTGCGAGTTCTGGGAACGACTATTTTTGCTCTTTGACTCTGAATGCCGACGAGGACGTGCAGAGAATCGAGGGCTCAACTCAGCTGTACCGATGCTCCTGAGAGCATGCGGCATGAGCGGAGTGACGGCCCGCGGTTATAATAGGCCGAGCCGCTAGAGGCGGCCAAAACTCTAAAAGCGCTTTTAGCTCCAGACTCGCTAAATAGGACTCGAGCCGAACGTGTGACCCCACCAATAGACTGCTCTTCGAACGAGGGGAATCCATTGGTGGGGTCACACGTTCGGTTCGAGTCCTGTTTAGCGACTCGGACCTCTAAACGCGTCTAGAGTTTTGGCCGCCTCCACCGGTCCTCTGGCCCACTGTGTGACGGGGCGGTGCTGGCAGCAAGGTAGGCACGATGGCGCGCTAGTTGGGGGTGGCGCCAGGGCAGGGCGGCAGCGCGGCGCCATGTTGCCGCACCGCGTCGCCATGGCAACGGACGGGCCGCCCCTCGCCATGGCGCCGCAACAAACGCGGGCTCTTTTTTACTTTCGAAACAAAACAAGAAAAAAAACTTGTGCTGACGCTTGGCCGCCGCCACTGAGATCGCCCAAGTCGGTGAACAAAGCGCCACAAATTCGGCGAGTCCGAGCTCAAAGAGAAACGCGACGGACGTCTTCGGCGGAAACGGATGGCGATAGGTGACGTCAAAGGCTTCCCCGTCGTCGTATCATTTTAAAAGAGATAATGGACTCGTCCGAGCGACATGCCTGCAGACACGCTGATTGGTGGCGTGCCCTAGCAGTGCCCTAGCACCCACCCGGACAGACGCGCGAAAACGAGTATCGCCTTGGCAAACACATTTGTACGCCGCCCGTGTTTGGACAAGTTAATGCCGGGTCGCATCACTCGGAGCTTACAGCCGATTACCTCTTCGCTATATATTTCTTTTCCGAGCGGGCCGCTTGCCACACCGCTCGGCCCGCCGCGGCCCACCGCACCTAACCTCTCTTACCCTCCAATATGACGGCTGGGTGGCTGCCAACCGCCGACAAAACCAGCCGAAACGTTCCGCGCCGCGCGGCTTGCCCGGCTGGCCGCAGACCTGTATCACTAGAGTCCCGAAGACCAAAGCTTTCGTTTCAACTTGATTTCGCCACTAGATAACCTTCTCTATCGAAAATTATCAAATAAAATCGGAAGTTTTGCACTGAGGCTGAGACAGCGTCGTCATTCCAACGCAAAGAAACGCAGTTCTGTTCGAATCTCTATTCCGCGGAATGAATGCATCCTCGCTGAAAGTCGATCTATGCAGTGAGTTTGTTGGTGAACCTCCCGGACGCTCCCCCGGCGAGCGTGAACGCGGCGAGACTGATGCGAATCTTAATGTGAATCCGGCGCCACGGGATTTGTTTGGCGATGACCTCATTATCGAGTTAACGACCCGGCAAATCGGCGTGAAATGATGGCACGGGACGGCAACGGACGATGCGACCGCGGCGAATCTCTCTCTCGCACTTGCATCGCTGTCGCGGAAAATTAGGGGACCAGGGGAGGGGGGAATGGGGTGGGGAGGGGGAACCGGGGGTGCGTTGCAATGGCGCGGGAAATTGGGGCACTTCCAGCACGACGCCTCAGCGGGGATGGGATGTCACAAAAATAACCACCGGAAGGGGACAGTTTGAGAGAAATAACCCGTTATCGGACTCTCGGTCCATCTGACTGTCACATGACTCATCCATTCCGACCCATAAGCAATGCGGTCCTTCCAGCAGAGAAGTGAGTTTCTCAACCGGATAAACTTTACATTGAATGAAGCCCAAATACTACATAATTTGAATTGATTTATACCCTTTAAACCTTACGAAGTATTTTGAGCATACATACGTACAAACCGGACAAACTAATTTACTTTGTTACACGAAGAAATAGTTCGTAAATTACGAAGTATTTTCTTTGTAAGCTTATGTATGCTCAAAATACTTTGTTCTAATAAACTGCGTTGCTTTGTAAGGCCTGAAACAGTTTGTAAGGTTTTCTCAGTGAAATAAAATGCACTAAACACTCAGCTTCCCAGAAAAGACAAATCTAAAACATAAGACTGGGATTCAAACCCGCGTACTCACCCGCACTCTGGCCTCGGTGAGGTTCGTCCACATGGCGATCTCCTCCCGCGTGCTCATGTCCGGGTAGCGATTTCTTGAGAAGGTCGCCTCCAGCTCTTGCAGCTGCTGCGACGTAAAGTGAGTCCTCTGCCGCCTCTGGCGTTTGTTCCCCGCGGTCCCCGAGCCGCCCCCGCCCCCCGCCGACCCCGACGCACTCGCGCCCTTCTTGGTCGAACTGTTCACTGTGCTGCTGGAGGAGGCGTGCGTGCCGTGGCCGCCGTGGCCGCCGTGCGCACCGTGGCCCACGTCGTCGCCGTTGTTGAGCCCGTCCGCCTCCAAGCTCGCCTCCGTCTTGACCGAGCCCAGCGGCGCGTCGATGGACGGCACCCTGGAGCCTGCAACAAGCGCAACCACAGTGAGGCACAGCACTGACAAGACCGTGGTTATGGTGAAGATCGCCTGCCACAAGGAAAACCAGTCACCAGTAACGTTGATGCACCCATAATACTGACAGAAAGGGCAAACGGTCGCACCAGTAAACGTTAGCAGGGACAACTAGTCGCACTAGTAACGTTGGGGTACCCATACTACTGACAGCAAGGACAACTAGTTGCACCAATAACGTTTGGGCACCTATACTACTGACAGCAAGGACAACCAGTGGCACCAGTAACGTTGGGGCACCCATACTACTGACAGCAAGTACAACTAGTCGCACCAGTAACGTTGGGGCAACTATACTACTGACAGCAAGGAGGCTAGGTCGATCTAATTTCCCTCGTCTCAAAAACCAAACCACCTCCAACAGAGTCCCCCTTGCGCCCGTCACCCTTCGCCCTTCCCCGGGCCCGCTCAAAGGGCTGTCAGGGGGAACGGCCTTGCAGGAGGGATGAAGACATTGTGCATCACGCTGGGAGATTGGCCGCCTTGCCTCGTCTCGTCGGGCCGTCACTGCCGCCTGGAGGCCCAGGCCGGCCCGCCTCCCTCCCCATCGCGCGATAGAGGGCACAGGTCGCCCAGATGGCACGACCGGGTCCGCGGTTCGATTCCCGGTCACGCGGAAGCTCTTTCGCTCTGTCAAGCCGAAAGCATGCTCCGTCTGCTGACCACCAGTAAGGACAACCAGTACCACCAATAACGTTGGGGCGTCCATACTACTGACAGCAATGAAAACAAGTCTCACTAGCAACGTTGGGCGGTTGGGGCACCCATACTACTGGCAGCATTTCTTAACTTTAAAATTCACATTGCAAGTAGGTTTCTATCGAAATTCTTTTGTCTGGCGCTCACGCTCGCAGGAAAACATCGAACACAGCATGATTCAAAATGTTGAAAAAACAGTTTGTGCATTGCAACACCTGCTCGGCGGCTCGCGGCTTTGGCGACGTGCCTCCCGGGGGACCCTAGACTACTGTGCGTGCGCTGCTGCGCTTGGCTGGCGGACGGCAGTAATAAATTTCGCTTCGCCGCCGGGAGGGAGGAACGCGACGCGATGACTTGCGGCCAGCCACACGCACCGACTCGAGCTATGCGGCTCGTACGTCCCGCCGCTCCTGCGGGACTCGTCTGGGCTAAAACATGCGGCCTGGGCCCGGCCCGCCGCTGCCAGCCAGTTCCCCAGGGATGACCACCGCACTGCAAACTCGGGGGTGCCCGCCCCGGGAGGAGGGGGACGCGCGGAATAAGGATGGCGACAAATCGGTGCAGATACAAACAATGACTGAATGAGCGGATCCCAGATGGACCGCGAAGGAGAGAGCGAAGGGAAAGGAGAGAGGGGAGGACTGGAGTCATACGGCCGGCCGGAGCGTTCAACATTTCCATCCCCTTTTCGGAAGGGTTCGCGAGGGTGGCGCAGACGACGGAGGGGATGGAGGAGCAGCTCTGTCTCTCTCGCACTCATGGGCAGCGGCGTTCCGTATGTGTGCGAGCAGGACAGAAGCGCTGTCATCCGTATTGTTGTGGCCCCGATACATTATGGGAGTCAAGTCTCCATTGTGGCGCGCCCTTTGAATACACATTACACCGCCAACATGACCCCCCTCCCAAACTGCCCCCGCCTCGCGCCCCGCTGTCCATTGTGGGCCCCGAGGCGTGTGTAAATACACGTGTGAAATATTGACCGCGCTTTCAACTCGCCGAATGGATGTGACGCGGCGCGCCAGTTCTGTAAACGGCACCCGAGGAATGCGGGGCGTTTCCCAACAAAAATTTGTCCAACCAGAGATCAACTCACGACGACTCAGCCAGTCAAACTGACAATCATTATAATTTTTTCTTTGCGTGGGCCAACAACTTGAATTTTGGCGTACATTTCCCTTGAAATAACGTCAAATAACTTGAATATGAAATAACGGTGTACAAATTTTAATCAACTTGTAGCTTTCAAAAATATCCAGATTTTCGTACCCGACCCGAACAAATCTCCGTCTGGCAAACGAAGGGAAAGAAACCAGCAACCGATATGATGCCAATGAATGAATCGTCTTCAAATATTCGTCCGAAACGGCGTCACTCTGAAAACTTTGCCAGTGTGTCCCCCCTCCCCTCCGCCGCCGCTATCGATCGGTTCGATAAGGACGCTTCTTGGAGCTTGTCTTATCGCCACAACAAGGTACATCGTGTAATGTTCGTGTTCTACATGGCACGGCACTCGTCTCTCGAGCACCCGGCGCGCACCTGTACGCTCGGCCGACCGTCCCTCAAGAGGCGATGCGAGCCTTTATTAAAATTTCAGAGGACGATTCGGGCAGGCACGTGACACTGCCAATCTACTCAAAAGTTGTTTTTTCTCTCACACTAAACCCTGATGCACTTTTTGTACGTTAGTTTGCACACCATTTCGTGAAGGTGCATCAGGATTTCGTGTGCTCTAATGGCTGAAAATGTGACATGGCGTTATGCAAATAGCATTGTGCCCTTTTGTTTGTGGAGCCGGGGGAACCACACCTCGTCATGTATTTGTCGAGGAGCAACACACACACGCACACACCACACACACACACACACACAACACAACACATACACATACAAAACACACACACAGGCACACACACACACACAAAACACACGTACACACACAGATAGACCAATAAAGGGAGTCCTCGCAAATTAGTCGTGAAGTTGTCCCCTATCTCACACGAACGACGCACACGTTTTCACGCCACTTCGCGCCACGCCGTGCCACGCCGTGGCGCGCTGTGCCCCTTCGACGTCGCCCTGATAACGGCAATCGAGCGCGCCACGCCGTCGGCCTGCAGGAAAGGTGCGGACGAGGCGACGACGGGGCGCTCTGCACAGTGGGCCCTCTGTGCCGATTAATTTTTCATTTTCAAAGACTTGCAGAACATAGAAACATTTGAAGGTTTTCTCGAATTTTCCGAAGGACAGCTATAGTTCTCCAGGAATTCCCAATATTTTTGTCACAACTGTGAAGAAATGATTGCGGATTTTCCACCCGTTTCCTCGCCTGGACGCTCGCACCGCGCGCATCCGATGCCACAGGTGCCACACAACTCCGAGCACCTTATGACCCTCCCCGCCGACAGGCCGCCAGGCACCGCCAGGCCGGCCGGCCGGTGGGTCGGACTCTGGGTCGGACTCTGGGTCGGACTCTGGGTCGGCTGCGCTGCTGTGGGGGCCGACGGGGCCACCCCCGAAGCGCGCGGCCTGTCAGCCCTGTCGCCTTGACTAAGATGGATCTGGGCGGCGCACTTTGAGGCCCGTATCAACATCTTATCAGGGAAGGTACCGAGGGAGGGGCGGGGAGGGCGACGCGCAAGAAACGGAGGGGGGCTGGACCATATCGAGGAAAAGCGAGATGATGCGAGCAAAATGAGTCCTCACAGTGGTTCAGAAGACCGGTGGAGGCGGCCAAAACTCTAGACGCGTCTTGAGCTCCGGGGTCGCTAAATGGGACTCGAACCGAACGTGTGACCCCACCAATGGATTGCTCTCCGAACGAGGAATCCATTGGTGGGGCCACACGTTCGGTTCGAGTCCTGTTTGGCGACTATGGAGCTCAAAAAGCGTCTAGAGTTTTGTCCGCCTCCACCGGTCTTCTGGCTCGCTGTGGTCCGTCCGTGCAAAAAATAAAAATAAATACACAGTAAATATCCGATTTTATTTTTAACGGGGTAAACTGCGCAAAATCCATCGGAGAGATTCTTGCTGTGGCGCTCCGTCTCGAACGCCAAAATGAGTATCTTTTTCTGAGTGCCAGGTAGGGCACGCGCGGGGCTGTCGCGCCGCAGCGTGTGTGGGTGATGCGCCCCGGCTGGGCCCGGCTGGGCCTCGGCAGCCCCGGCTGGGGCCGAGACTAACTGCTCTATTAGCTACAGATTTACAGCGTGGGGGCACCTGGGGGACGAGGGGGGGGGGGGGCGGCCGCGGTCGGACGGGTGGCGAAGGGGGTCGGGAGCGACACTTCGAAACAGCAGCAGCCAGTTTGTTTCCTGTATCCCCCTCACTTTTTTTTGATCCTGTCATTACCAGGCTGGCTCCGACTTTGTCACCGCTCCACTGCAAGGGGGAACTCCCCCCCCCCTTTCGAAGCCCCGCGGAAGCGCCATCGGTGTCAAGAAGCCCAGGCAACGAGGACCCAAATTTTCCGATTGATCGAATGCATGGAAGGCAGACAGGTACAGCCGTCGGTTTTGAAACTGAGCGAGAGAGAGAGAGAGAGAGAGAGAGAGAGAGAGGAGGACCGCCGCGGCTTGCTGCCGCTGCAGTCTCTCGTCCCTGTCGTGCCTCAGAGCGGCCGGCAACGCTACCGCTCGCCCCGTCCGTCGGATTCGCTCCGATTCGGGAATTCACCGCGCGGAAATATTGAGTGACGCAAGCAATAAACGTGCGCCGTCTCTCTCGCACGCCCGTGGGACGCGCCGTGAGTGCGACGGAGACAGAGCGACGCCGTCCGGCGGCTGTCCGACGGTCCGGCACACTGGGCAGTGAGCAGCAGCGAGGGGAGCGCACGCATTTTCCTTCTGCGGGAAAAGCCATACTCCTCCCTCGCCGTCTTGCAGTCGTCGTACACACTCTCTCTCTCTCTCTCTCTCTCTCTCTCTCTCTCTCACACACACAAGCCCCCCTGTGGGGGTGCGAGAGAGACGCGACGAGCCTGCTGCCGGCGGCAGGTCGACCCAAGATAAACACGCCGTCCCCATTCTCACGTAACGCCCCGTTCCTCTGTCTCTCTCGCACTCGCGGGGACACTGAAAAACCAAACGTGGTGCAGACCAACCAACTGGTGTGGTGCCATTTTGACGCCGGTAGTGCGGTCTAGACCCTTCGTGCGTTGTCGTCATTGCATGGAAAGACCGACCAAAACGTGGCCAAAGGTCTATAAGATCCGTGGAACCGGCCGCCAATCTTGTGCCTGAGCTGCCGAGACAGAAGCTGACGCCGTCCGGCCTTCGAACGGGCCCGGACACGGCCAGTGTAGCAGGGAGCGCGACCTCGCAGTTCTAGCGGGAAAATCAATCCTTCCCGCCGTCATTGCAGTCAAACACATTCTACTCATTAACTGATCTTCTTAAACGTTATAAATCTCTGCTTCTCTGCAAACGGCATCTTCTACGACAATTTTGACCATGAGGGAAGACCCCCAAATTAAATCGTAAAAGAACGACACAGCCTGCCGGCGTTTTCGACCAAGATAAACCGTTCCCTTTCTCCAAAACGCCGTTCCTCTGTCTCTTTCAACTCGCTTGAACGGATATAAATGCAAGACCAACCAATGGTGTGGCCATTACCACACCAGTTGGTCGGTCTAGACAGTTGTGCGTTTGGTGTGTCATTGCATGAAACCGCCACACCTAACGGCAAACGGGGTCTAGACCACACCAACTGATGCGGTCAAAATGGCACCCATTTGGCCACACCAGTGGTGTGGTCTAGACCACGTTTGGTTTTTCAGTCGAGCGAGCCGCACGTCGGTGCGCGGACGGTCCCTTAAGGAAGAAGAGGAAAAGAAATATGGGCTGCAGGGCCCTGCAGGGAGAATCGTAAAGGGGATTAGGGCTGCTCGATGTCTAGACAAGCGGCGGGGCTTAACCCCGCGGAGAAGAGGCGGCGGCTGCATGCGCGTCGCCGCACCACGCCCGATTGTTTCCGGATTCCACCGGCACGGTAGTACTCAACAACAACAACTAAAAACTAAAACTCCAAAACAAAACAAAAATTTTAAAAAATTTGCATTGTGAAAATAATTAAATGCCGCGTAGTGGCGTGTCTGACAAGGTTAATCCAAGTAGAACCCAAACTCAGTAGTGTGTGACGTCACCTTTGGGGGGGGGGGGGGTGGATGGCGCTGTCGTTAAGGGTAACGGGGTTTAAAAAAGGCGCGCGACGAGCCACGCCACCCGAAGGGGCCCGCCAGGGCAGAAGGGCGCCACCTTGGCCGATCCCTCGGCGTCCGCTCCGTCCGCGACGGCAGTTTAGTGCGCATTGATTGCCCAAGTGCCGTCAGGGGCTCTCCTCGAAAGAATGGGAGGGGGGGACGCGCGGCGGTCTCCAGACGAGCCACGCGGTTGGCAAAAGTAAAGGCCGGGTGGCCCGGATTCAAGGGCAGGCATGTTTTCGAAGTTCGATGTCGTTTAGAACGGTTTGGTCAGAGTTTTCGGAAGAAACTAGTTGAACTGAAGTCCCTCGAGCGCTCCTACCCTTTGCTTGGACCTTGCACCTTGAACCTTGAACGAGGGGTACGTCACTTGGAAAATGTGTACACTGACTGGTGCCTGGACTGAATTTACACTTTGATTAGAATGTAAATCTAACGAAATGCGTTACAAAAATGCCGCAAACAGGGCAAATTGACGCGTTTGTGTCGGATTTTCAAGTGACTAGACTGAGACAAGGCAGTGACCGGAGTCAGGGCTGTGTACACTGACTGGACGAAGAGACGTACCCCTCAACCTTGAACCTGACTCACTCATGAACCACCAGTCCTGCAGGTCGTCGTCCAGCCACGCGCCCACCTCGCCGGTCACCAAGCCCACGCCGTCGTTGGTCACCATTGACATGTCGCTCGCCACCATGGTCACGCACTACTTGAACCACGCGTCAAACCCCGGACGGACGAGACGGACAGACGGACGGACGGACGGACGGACGGACAGAAGGACAGACGCGACGACGTGGCAGAGCGGTTCTTTTAGTGCAGTGCAGTGCCATGCGTCGGTGGCCGGCCGTGGTGCGCGACTGGCTAGACTGGCTACCGCGCCAGCGGACCGCTAATCCGACGGCCCGCGGCGCGGAACGGCAGCGCAGCGCTGTCCTTATCGACAAAAAGAGTAGCGCCACCGAGGAGGACCCCAACGCAACCACGGAAAAATAAAACCACTCTGATTTTTTAGAAAATCTCAGGTCAAAATGCGCACGCTTTGCCAGGATGTGACAACTACCGAGAGTACGGCAGACTGATTCCGAGAGTCGCTTTCGTCGCTCTGTCTGTCTGTCTGTCTGTCTGTCTGTCTTTCTCCCTCCCCTCTAAACTGTACGGGACGGCCCATGAGTGCGAGAGAGATAGGGCGACGAAATAGCGCAAGTCACGGCCACGGCGGCTCGGGCGGCTCGGGCGGCTCGGGCGGCGGTCAGCGCGCCCGGCGGGTAGGCAGCACGGACACAGCCGTGCCGCCGCGCTGCCTGCCCGCAGGCGCCGTCCGCCGAGCGAGAGTCGAAACGCCACTCCGGGACACGCGGACCACAAACATTCCCACAGTGCATCAGTTTCGAAAGGGTTGGCGACCTCAACCGTGTGATGGAGGTCGTGGTTGTGAAGGTCGACCTTGTCGATGTATCGCGACGCTGCGTTTCGAGTTTCTTCGCGCGATCCTTGGCTCCTTCCTTCTGTTTTCCCGTGTTGCGATATCAGCTGCTCGGGCGGGGCGAGGCGGGGCGGGGTGGGGCAGGGTGGGGCGGGGCGGGGCGGCAGGCATAAAACCTGGAAACGAGAACTATTATCTCCCACCTGGTTCGCCGGGCCGTCGCCAGAGCGCGCCACGGGCCGCCTGGGCCGCCTGGGCCCTCCGCGAGGCGACGAGTGTGATTACAGCTGTATAGTAGTATTTACCGGGGAGATAAGGGTTATGTAGTGTGTGTGTCGGGCCGACCGCCTCGGCGACCGCAGCGCTATCTGCCGGCAAACTGCCTCACCGCACTGTGTGTGTGTCTTAGAGTGTGTGTGTAAGTGTGTGTACCCGCGAGTCGACAGAGACTGTACTGCTGGAGAAGCAGCTACCTTGCCGATATATCAACAAAGTTGGTCGAGTTAGTCGCACAGTGGACAGGCAGCTAAAACTCCAGACGCGTTTTGACTTCGGAGTTGCTAAACAGGACTCGAACCGAACGTGTGACCCCACCAATGGATTCCTCGTTCGGAGAGCAATCCATTGGTGGGGTCACACGTTCGGTTCGAGTCGCAGAGAGAAAAGAAATGACTTTACCTTTTCTATCTCTGGAGCTGCTCTTGTTGAAGCCGAGGTGGGAGTCGTTGGTGGTGACGGGGCTGGACATGGAGGGCATGGAGTGCTGGCCCGAGTCCCTGAAGTCCCCCGTCTCCGCCCATACTGCAACATAGCAGAAATCAGCCGAGTCATCATCCAGCCAACCACTAAAAAAACCACATCTGCGTTTTAAAAACATTCAATGATAAAAAAACAACAAAAAAACGACATTTCTAAAAAATGAAGTTTTTTTTCTCTCCGCAGCTAGCGCGGCGGGCAAGACGCGCCATAAATCGTCCCTCTACAGGTGCCGCTTCCCATGGGTTGTCGCTGTCTCTCTCGCTCCGCCGCCTCCGGCCGCCCCCGGCCGCCTCTCGCTTTCAATGACGTAATCAGCATGCACGGGGACACCCCTTGCCGCCACACTGCGGGGCCGCCTCCGAGTGCCGCCTCGCCGGCCTCGCCCCGGACGTGGCCGTCAGACAAAACGCGTCATTTGTCGCGTTACACGGAGCTCGGCCGACCGTGGCGGCGCGAGCCGCAGTCGCTCTGTCTCTCTCGCACTCACGCGGCGTCCCTCTTAAGTGCGAGAGAGACAGAGCGACGACTCTCAGTCGGCTGCACTCCATGGAGGAGAAGGGGTGGCGCCTTCATTACCCCCATCGTGATGCATTATTATTGTTGCTTTTATTGTTATTATTGTGGCGAAAACACACACGTGCTAATGATGGCACCGCACCGGGGACGCCCAGAAGAGCCCCCAGAGGCTGGCCGGCGCTGCGCCGACGCACCCCGGCGACACGAAGCAGGCCGTAAAAAGGGACCCCCGGCCTCCAGAGAGCCACTGCAGCGCCCAAATACTTTTTGGCGTCGTCAACAGAGGGAGATACAGCGAGGGAGAGAGAGAGAGAGAGGATGTTGCGGTAGCCATGGAGGACCTGTCATCGGCAGGGGTAGGGGGGGGTATCACCGAACACCTACACGCGCCAAAATCAGCCAAAATAAAAAAAATTGCAATTTTTTTCAAGCGAATCTTGCTGCTACCACAATCAAAAACCAAACTGTCGATTTTTTGACCAAAAAATATTAAAATATAAATGATAGTACTTTGATGTTATTTTTTTGTGCCGGCGCCATTGGGCAGCCTAGCCCTTTCCACTCCACATCATGATTCGGCGTGAAATGAGACACACACACACACACACACACACACCACAGCGGTCTTTTGTAAAGAAACGCGGCGACCCCAAGGGTGGCGGGCGTTTAGGGGCTCGCATCGACACGTCTGCCAAAAGTCATTATTTATCTTTCGCAACAGATATGTTTTGCTGCAAGAAAAAGGGCAGAGGAGCGCGGACTGCGCCGATTTCCGAACCATCCTTTGAAAACGGGAGGCCGGCACCCTCGTCTCGCCATCTGCCAAACGCCCCGGATACATTGGCCTACTTCCTGGGCAGCCGGCCTGGGGCCTAAGAGGCGTCGGTGTCACGCACACACAATCAGAGAGAGAGAGAGAGGGGGGGGGGAGAGACGCATAAACTCCCACGCCCGTCCGCGCGGCCCGCAGCAGCGGCTGCAGCAAACGAAAGAAAGTCACGAACTAAGCCCCCCAGTGATGCAGACTGCCGCCGCGGTCGCTTCCGATGCATCCTGCGAAGCCTCCCGCCTCAGACTACGCACCGGCCGCCAACGGCCGCGCAGTGGGCTAGAAGACCGGTGGAGGCGGTCGAAGTCCCGGACGCGTTCTGAAGCTCCAGAGTCGCTAAACAAGGCTCGAACCGAACGTGTGACCCCACCAATGGATTGCTCTTCGAACGAGGAATCCATTGGTGGGGTCACACGCTCGTTTCGAGTCCTGTGTAGCGACTCTGGAGCTCAAAACGTGTCTGGAGTTTTGGCCGCCTACTGGCCCCCTGTGGTGGAGAGGCCCCCCCCCCCACACACACACACACATTCGAAATCACCGCCCGCCCCTTCCGGCCGCTCGGTGGCCGCGCAGGGCGAGCTTGAGGTCGAGGCTGCGGTCGGCGAGGGGCCCTAGGTCCCGACGACGGCGACGGCGCGGGGGACAAGGAGATTTAATGCGGCCCACTGAGCAAACAGACATCACCGTGTGCAGCTACTACACTGCTTGGGAACTCCCAGGTCCGATCGGAAATCGGGGCCAGCGCATTGGCAAGCAGCAGCAGGGCGCTAAGTTTAGATTCCTATAGGGTCGCGCGCCCAGCGGGGCATAAAATAGACACGAAAAAAGTCGCACCCGCCTGGATTAGAACCCGGGCCTCGGCGGCAGCCCGAAAATGTGTAACACCGCCCACCATGACGATGGGCAGAGTAGCCGGCGTGTGCGCTGCGGGTCTGGACCGCCTCACAACTCGAAAGCCGACTTCCGCACGCCTTCCGGGCGGGTCGCCGTCGTGGTCCAACTTGACGCTCTTCAGGGGCTTCCCGCGGCCGGTGGTCCGCGGGGCGCGTGCCCAGGGGGCGGGGGAGGGGGGGATGAACTGGCTGCTAAACGGTTGGCGACGCGCTCCGCCCGGGCGGCCTCGCCACAGTAAACAACGCTCTGTCTGCCTGGCCGCGCCGCCAGCACACCGTTGCGTCGGTTCGCTTCGTCGCTCTGTCTCTGTCGCACCTATGGGGCGTCTCCAAGGGAGTGCGAGAAAGGCAGAGAGGAATCCTCAGAACAGCTCGGCAGGGCGACCACTGTGTTGAGTCGGCCACCCCGGCACAGCGTCTTCCCGCGTCGCACAGTGGACCATAGTCAAAATCCCGAACGCGTTTGGAGCTCCAGAGTCGCTGAATAGGACTCGAACCGAACGTGTGACCCCACCAATGGATTGCTCTCAGAACGAGCAATGCATTGGTGGGGTCACACGTTCGGTTCGAGTCCTATTCAGCGACTCTGGAGCTCTGCACGCGTCTGGAGTTTCGGCCGCCTCCACCGGCCTTCTGGCCCACTGCGACGCTCCCTCCCTGGACGTGGCGTCATTCCCCCTCCCCTCGGCCTTCCGTGTGAGGATGTCATGACACCGCCTGATGGACACATTGGCGCGCACTTCGCCGGAAAATTGGTCGTCCGGACGTCTCGGCGCGGGAAAGTGTCTGACCGGCCGACGCTGGGCTGACTGCTCTCTCTCTCTCTCTCTCTCTCTCTCTCTCCCGCACTCGCGGCGCTGGAAGGGTGCGAGGGAGACAGGCCGACGGGGCGGTGGGCTCGCCGTGCCCCGCCCCCTGTCCGTCAAAGGCGGCGACACCACGACACTGACGCATGCAGACTGCGTCGTTTTCGTCGCTCTGTCTCTCTCGCACCCACACGGGGCGCCCCACGAGTGCGAGAGAGACAGAGCGACGAACTGTCGGAATCAGTCTGCAGGGGAGGAGGTCGGCGCGCTTCCCACACAGTGTCCGCACGTGCGTGAAAACGCGCCACTTGGAAAAAGCAAACAACGGAGTACGTCCCGCCCACGCCTGAGGCCACCACACTGTCGAGGCGGTCGTCCCGTCATGAGATTGCGCATTCATACAATCCTAATCCAATCGTTTTTCAATTGTTGTTTCGTATACCGTCCTGGCTTATCACACTTACACGCTAAACCTAAATGTCCACACTAAAAGTTTATGTACGATTTTGTACGAAGTGATGCATAATTCTAAACTTGTGCATCTTGTGTACTGCCGTGCATATAATTGTGCGTGAATTTGCATAAATTTATGCATCTTTACGCATGATATGCAAATTCCACGTACGTGCAAAATCGTGCAAGTTGCACGTACAAAATTCTACCTAAACATTTAGTGTGTCGCTGGACTCGACTTTCGGGTTTTCAGTGCACAGCAGTTGGCTAGACGGACATCAATTTCGAGCACAGTTATTTTAATTGGGTAAAACCTTGTAGGTATTACAAACAAATCCTTTTCTTTTCTCTCTCACTTTTTTTTGTCTCTTTCAAACGTGTTCAAGTTTGCAAGTCGTTCCGAGGCTCGGCGGTCAGATGGCAGTGCCGCCTCATTTGATAAGGAAAACAGAGCGAGAGAAAAAGAGGTGGAGGGGGTCCACCCGGCCCCGGGGGTGGGTGGTGGTGGTAATAGCTCAAAATTAGCCTTGTGGGAGCGCGGAAGGTCGGGTCGTAAAGTAGGAAGCAAAGGGGGAGAGAGAGAAAGAGAGAAGAAGAAAAAAACGGGTTGCGGATAGGTGAGTGTCAGGAACACCACCCGGGGGAGCGGTGTGGCCACGGAATCTGTCCCAAGTGTGCCGAGTCAAAGGTCGGCACCCCTCATCGGCACCCACGCTCCACACACACACTCACACACACACACACACACACACACACACACACACACACACACACACACACACACACACACGTGTCCCATCAGTCAGCACCTCGTGTAACGAATGACTTCCGAAGGAAGCGTGTGCGAGGAACCAACCGAGGCTTCGGATTTTCCGTTTCTCTGTCCCTGTCCTCAAATGTTGTTTTTGCTTTTTTTCCTTCCTTTTTTTTCGGTAAGATTAAATCGATGGACCTAATTAAAGCACAGCTTTCAAACAAACTACCCTCATCACTGAGAATGAAAAAGTCATGATCAGTACCCAATTTTGGGCGAGGTATACTTTATCACCCAAATTTCGGTGATAAAGAATTCCTCGCCCAAAATTGTAGCCATGACCATGACTCTGTCATTCTCAGTGATCCTACAACGCACTTTTTGCAGTGAGTCACGCACTAATTTGCGTGCGCACTGTAGTGCGTGTTCTAAAAAGTGCGTTGTTGAGGCGGACAGGCCGTCCACGCGCACGGGGCGCATGGCAAGCGCAAGGCGCGCGCCGCCCCTAAATCAACCTGTTTGCCGCCGCGGCTTATCCGGCCAGCTATTCCGAGAAAACCGCACCAGAACCGAAACAGCGAGGCGAGATACACAATGTAAATAAAGAAATCGTGAGCAACTTTGCGTGCGGCGTTCCTGTGTTCTGTCTCGGCTCCACTAACCGGCCTATTTTGACGCATTTGACTGTGTTCGTTCTGTCTGACACTTACGAGCGTCAGACGTGCGAGAGAGACAGAGCAACGAAGTAATTGCACTTTTCATAAACCCGTTACATGGGTTTGACCCAATAAATGGGTGCATGAAAAGTGTCCATTTGACTGGGTTCAGCAAATGGGTTTTGTCTGCTAGGGGAAGTCGATTGATTGAGCTTCTCGGTTGTCTCAAAAATACTTGCTGACATTCCATGAGTCAGGATGCTACTGAAAGTTGGTTCTTTCAGTAGAAGTTTCTAACTTCAACTTGATTTTTCTGACAAGGCAGCGAGTTTTGGATATGAATTGTTTGGTGTACTCACATTTTAGCTTCTCTAAGGGTTCGTGGGGCAGGAGCGGCGCGCAGGCCGCCTGGTACTCGTGGTGCTGGTGGTGGTGGTGCTGCTGCTGGTGCTGCTGGTGGTGGTGGTGCTGGTGCTGGTGCTGCTGGTGGTGCAGTAGCTGGTCCTGGCCCTGCGCCGTGCCCAGCGACGCCAGGTGGGGGTGGGAGTGGGGGCTGTCCGCGGAGACGGGGTGCGCGGAGGGCGAGGCGGACACCCCGGACACGAGGTCCTGCAGGTCCAGGGGCTCCATCTCCCCGCGGGGGCTCAGCTTGGTGACGTCGCCGCCGAGGCCGCCGCCCCCGCCGCCGAGCCCCCACTGCTTGACGCTGATGCGGGGCGCGGCGAACAGGGGGCTGTACGGGTCGGGGGCCTCCACCTTGAAGGCCGTCTGGCCGTGGCCGGGCAGGCCGAGGCCCGACCCGGGGTACAGGCTGGACACGGGGGCCACGGGGCCCACGGGGGCCACGCACGCGCTCACCACATCCTCCAGGGTGGCGGCCGGAGGAGCAAGGCCCTGCAACACAAAGCACGCCGTCAACATCACCATCGTCACCATCAACATCATCATCGCCATCACCATCATCATCACAATGATAGCAGTGCACTGTCAAAACAATTCAGAAAACCACGGAAGTCTTTTAGGCATTCCGTCGGGAATTCCTAGGGGCTTCGTTTTACATAACGGTCAAATTCTCTGTCAAATTGGTTCCACTTAATGACAATGCCAACAAACACTGTAAGAGTATTTTGGATGGCAATACGCCTCTGATTGTTTGCCGAACCCAGCTACAGAGCGAGGAAACAGATTATCCCGGCGAATTGCGTGTCATTGAAATTTCACGTCACAAATCCACGCCATAAGCACCACGCACATTGCAGAGAGGACCCAATTGCATTCCAGGGACTCAGCCTCGCGCAGTGATGAGGGGATTACCCCGCTTATGCCACAACCTCCACGACCCAGATAAAGAGATGGCGCTCGCCTAGGTGACAATAAATACCGTAAAGTTCACGTCGTGAAGATAAAAATGAAAACAAAACTTCGCGCACTACCCCTGACAAACTGAGGGCCAGGTCAACTCGGGGGTAACTCGGGGGTAACTCAGGGGTAACTCGGGGGTAACTCGGGGGTAACTCAAGGGGAAGTCGGGGGGAAGTCGGGGGGAACTCGGGGGGAAGTCGGGGGAACTCGGGGGGAAGTCGGGGGGAACTCAGGGGCAAGTCGGGGGGAACTCGGGGGGAACTCGGGGGGGAACTCGGGGGGAACTCGGGGGCAAGTCGGGGGGAACTCAGGGGTAACTCGGGGGCAAGTCGGGGGGAACTTGATCGACTCGCCCAAACACTAGAAATACGCTCCAAAATAGCACCGTTGCCTTTGTCTCGTTGCCCCGATTCTAAAAGTGCCCCTACTTGCCCCTCTAGCTCAGCGGTTCCCAACCTTGGGGTCGCGACCCCAAATGGGGTCGCGAAAAAATTTTGAGGGGTCGCGGCGAGGTGGCTGGGGTCGCCTGGGGTCGCGGTGGTTTCCCGGCTGGCCCACACGCCGAGCACTGGCTGCTTAAATGCCGCAAAGTTGATCAAAACGGTCACAAATGTGTGTAAAAGATCGTGTTTTGGGTCGACTTTAAGCATCCACTGCTTCTGATCCGAGGCGGTAAATCGCCCTCCCTCAACGGGCAATTGGTCTTTGGACCTTCCTTTTGCATGCCTTTGTTACGGAGTGCAATTATCTGCCTCAGTTTGGAAGCAGTACTGCCGCAAAGTTGGTCTAAACAGTCACAAATGTCTGTGAAAAATCGTGTTTTGGGCCGACTTTAAGCATCCACTGCGTCTGATCCGAGGCGGTAAATCGTCCTCCGTCAACGGGCAATTGGTCTTTAGACCTTCCTTTAGCATGCCTTTGTTACGGAGTGCGATTATTTGCCTTAGTTTGGGAGCAGGTTTGCCACAAAGTTGATCAAAACACGATTTTTCAGACATTTGTGACCGTTTTGATCAACTTTGCGGCAAAACTGCTCCCAAACTAAGGCAGATAATCGCACTCCGTAACAAAGGCATGCTAAAGGAAGGTCTAAAGACCAATTGCCCGTTGACGGAGGACGATTTACCGCCTCGGATCAGACGCAGTGGATGCTTAAAGTCGGCCCAAAACACGTTTTTTCACAGACATTTGTGACTGTTTAGACCAACTTTGCGGCAGTACTGCTTCCAAACTGAGGCAGATAATTGCACTCCGTAACAAAGGCATGCAAAAGGAAGGTCCAAAGACCAATTGCCCGTTGAGGGAGGGCGATTTACCGCCTCGGATCAGAAGCAGTGGATGCTTAAAGTCGACCCAAAACACGATCTTTTACACACATTTGTGACCGTTTTGATCAACTTTGCGGCATTTAAGCAGCCAGTGCTCGGCGTGTGGGCCAGCCGGGAAACCACCGCGACCCCAGGCGACCCCAGCCACCTCGCCGCGACCCCTCAAAATTTTTTCGCGACCCCATTTGGGGTCGCGACCCCAAGGTTGGGAACCGCTGAGCTAGAGGGGCAAGTAGGGGCACTTTTAGAATCGGGGCAACGAGACAAAGGCAACGGTGCTAGTTTGGAGCGTATTTCTAGTGTTTGGGCGAGTCGATCAAGTTCCCCCCGACTTGCCCCCGAGTTACCCCTGAGTTCCCCCCGACTTGCCCCCGAGTTCCCCCCGAGTTCCCCCCGAGTTCCCCCCGACTTGCCCCTGAGTTCCCCCCGATTTCCCCCCCGAGTTCCCCCCGACTTCCCCCCGAGTTCCCCCCGACTTCCCCCCGACTTCCCCTTGAGTTACCCCCGAGTTACCCCCGAGTTACCCCTGAGTTACCCCCGAGTTACCCCCGAGTTGACCTGGCCCTCAGTTTGTCAGGGGTAGGGATTGATTTTGTTCGATATGTTACATTCGACAGCGGCAATCAAATCGAAAATCCAGTACCTGCAAACAAAAACTGGTAGCCACGGCAGAATATTTAAGGTTTAAGGGGGTCTCTTATCCTGTGACCGGACACTTGCAAGTGTCCGGTCACAGCAAACAGTTTCTCGTTGTATAGGTATCGGATTTTCGATTTGCAGATATCGATTTCAGTTCATCGAACAGAAAGTCGATCACCTCGACAACGCATTTTTTCCCGTGCGCTGGAATCTTGAATGCCGAGAGCGCGGCTGGCTTATCACCGCAGCCTCTGGGCCTCTGGCGTTCAGGTCTCTTTGCCGAAGGTAAATACGTGTGTCCCGCCGCACCGCGTTGCCGCCGCCTCAGGCCCGCCTGCCGCCAGACGAGCGAGTGGGGCACCGTACGAACTACACAGTAAGTAACATGCAGTTTTTTAGCAGATGATACGTTCACGTATCAGCGTGCTTGTACTCTCGAACAGACAGTACCGAGATTCCGGCTAGCCAGCCAGCATCAGTTGCCGTTGCCTGACTAGCAAGCCTAGAAGAGGCCGAGCGCCTCGCTGGCAAGGCAGCGGCTGGCTGGCCTGCCTAGAAGAATATGAGCGGAGGGCCCTCAGCGTGCCGCGCCGTGCCGTCGCGCCGCGCGCCGCACAATGAATCGGGGCGGCTGCGGGGGCTCGGGTTCAGCGCGCGGCGTAGAACCACCCAGTTATCTAGTTCTCATAAAGTGCGTCCCTCACGTTGCGCGCTATGCCGCTCCCCTTCCTCTCGTCACGAGACACTGCTATAGCACGCATCGCGCAGCAGCCCCCCGCGCCCCTTCCTCTGCCGAGATGCCACGTCCCGCCGCGCCCCGCCACACCCCGCAGCAGTCCACACACACACACACCCACTTGAACCTTGAGTGCGTAGAACGCATAGTGCAGCGCCCCCCCGAACCCCTGCCTCTCTCGAGAAGCGCCACTCATGCTTGCTTATCTTGAGCGTCTCGGGTTCGGGTGTCGCAGGCCGCGGCCGGCCGGCCCTGCTTGGAGATGTGGCTGACACGCCGCATGCCGCAAGGCGCCTTGCCCTAGTACCGAACACAACTTTTACGGGTATTGAGTATTTATGTGATTAGCCACCAAATTGTGCATCCTCGCGTTGAAACAACGAAAATGATACCCAACACAAGTGGTATCGGACACATGAGTGTCCCACCGTCATTGCGAACATATTTAACACAAAACAATTACGCTAGGATATTCAAAAGTTATACTAAAATTGACATTTTCATGAATTACCATGCGTTAGAAATTTGTCAAAAAAAAAGAGTTCCGAGTGTTTACTCTTTGAAATAAATTGACAAAATGTCACATTCATACATTTAAATAAACATTCTCATAAGTATCATCTGCTTTCACGTTAGCGTTAGCGTTAACGTTTTTTCTTTTTTTTCGCATAGCATTTGTCTTACTTTTAAGGGGGTTGTTCAGAGGGTATACTGTCAAAACGATATTATCACTACAGAAAACCAACCAAATTTTAGTTCATTCGCTCACTTCTTTATAGTGCACCCGGGCGAAAGAAGAAAAAAATCACGCACTTTTTTTACCGGCAGTGGGAGTTTTAGCTCCCACAGCGTCCCACAGCATAGCAGTACATCATATAGAAACTCCTACTTGTCTAGGGCAACCGAAAACTCAAGACAAAAAGAGGAATAAAAGAAATTTGCGGTTCATTTTTATTTTTTTTTTTTTTTTTTTGAAAACTAAACGGAAGATGCGTGGTGGCGCCGCCTTGGGCCCTCTCCTCCAGGATGGCGCTACGCCTGTCAATCACGGACACGTCGCCGCGCTGCCGCGCTCCTCGAACGCTACTCGAACCGAAATGAGAACGGCGCCAAGATTATTGAGCAAGGCGCCGCGGCGGCGCGACGCGCTTCGATATCTCGCTTCGATTGATTGACGCGCGTACCGACCGGGGCTGACGACGCGCAGATACGCGGGCAGCGGTGGCGCCCCGGCGCGCCAAAATTTGAATTCGCCGGCCGGCGGCAAGGCCGAGTGTCTTTGCGAGCAGAAAAGGGTCACCCGTTGTTGTTGTTGTTTTTGTTTGCGCACCTGCGTAAGGTGCGCGCATGCGCAATGGGCATGGCGCCGACAAATGGAGATTAGATGGCCACTTGAATTTACCGCGGTAATCTTCCACTAATACCCGATTAGTGGGGCTGATCCCTTAATGCCGTCACATTACCGTCACCCACTATCACTTTTCCCGCCATAACAGCCGCAGAAAGCGGCGGCAGCACTGCGGCGGCACTGCCAGCCGACCCAGTCGGCCAAAGACATGGCGGTGGTCACTTCACAGAGGAATGTCCCTTGCAGCGAAACAACAGCTCTATGTCTCACAACGAAATTTGAGCGATCATCCGACGAGAAAACGGAGACCTCTGAGTTCTCACGGTGGCAAGTTTCAGCTGTACTACTACTGTTGTGGCCACCAACATTTTGCCTATCGCGTCATCAAAAGGAATACAAACAGGCAATACAGAGTACTTAGTGTACCATAGCGATTTACAGCACCAATTATGACTCAGGTTTCCTCGTTCTTTCTCTTTGCGGTGTTGGTGCCATCCTTTCATTTTTTGTACACTGATGCCATACCACACGCACACACATACACGGCCACACACACACACACACGGCGCTATCAACATTATCACGACTGTCCGGCGGTTGGGGATTAAGCCTGGCCTGCACTCCGATGCTTGGCGCGCGGTGAACGCACGCTGCATGTCGGCCCTCCCCGGCACGGCACTGCACTGGCTCACCGGTCAAATGCGTGTTATTGACAGCATGACACCGCGACAGGTGTCATTGCCTCTGCATGAAGGCAATTTTTGACACATTGCCATCACCACGCCATCCAGATCAATTCTAGACCCGGCCGTTCGTCAGCCACCTTGCACTCACATAAGCAACTCGGTTGACACGAACTTTTGCAATCCAAACGCGCCGACAGATTTTCACCGGCAAGCACACAGACACTCACACAGACGCACTGACACTCGGGCGAGCGAACGCAAAGTCCTGGCAAGGCAAACATCCGCTGCCGCCGAGGGTTGTTTTGAACTTTAAAACTGACGGACGTTTTGATGGCACTTCCGTGGACGGACGGTATTGGCACTCACACACACACACACATATACACACACACACACACACACACACGACGGACACAGACACATCCTGAAGTCGCAGAGTCACGGACACGTCGCACAGACAGAAGCAGACGACGCGGCGGGCGGCCAGCGCGGCCAGCGCGGCCAGCGCGCGCCGAGACCCCGACCGAGACGCTTACCGCGAAGTGCAGCTTGCTGGGCTGAGGGTTATCCGGATTGAAAGTCCTTGATGATGCACTACTTCCAGGTGAAGAGACACTCGCGTCAACACACGCGCACACACGTACACACACACACTCGCGCACGCACACGGAAGCGGGCCGCGGAGGCCGCTCTGCGGATTACCGATACACAAATAATAAAAAAGTCACGTGGCTCGGCGCGCGCCCCGGCCACGGCAAGACGGCCTTAATGTGTGCTTAGAGCGGTTTTGAAATGGAATCCCGAACAGTCACTGTTACTGCCGTTTGGTTTACTTGTTTTAAGTCCTCGAAAGCCCCCCAGTTAGTCCGGCGGCTCAGGACAGCTCGGGCGAGCAGGCCCGTCTCCGCGCCGAGCGCGCCCCTCCACCGCGCGCCCGCCCCCCTCCACCGCGCCGCGCAGCCAATGCCGGCGCCGCACCGCTCCCCCTCCCCTGGTGCGCAGGCGCGGGCGGCGCGCGGCGGCCTGGCCCCGCCCCTCCCCACCCCCGCCCCCAGCCGCGGACGGCCGCGCCGTGGCGATGCGGTCTCGGCGGGCCGCCGGGCCGCGGGCCGGGCCACCCCATGCTCCACGCCTTCCACGCCGCAACCTGGCCAACGCACAGTGGCGGTCAATCCAAGAAGCTTTGCTTAGGTCTTGTGGATTTCAGGGGCTTGCGAAAGGTTTAGAGTTTGAGCTATTTGGGTTTAACGTCTATCGCCCCGCCTTAGTCTTTGAGAAGCGTATTCGGCCTGCAACAAGTCAGGGCCCCGGCAGAGCCAGCCCGCTTGGCGCCAGCCGGCCGCAAGCCGGGCCCCAAGCCGGGCCGTGCCCCCTGCCCCAGACGGCCCAGACGGCTCAGACGGCCCGGCCCGGGTCACAGTCAAGGCAACAAGTACCTGGCGGTGTGACCAATACCGGAAGAGGGCCCTCAATGGAAAAAGAAGCGGGGTCACGCTCGCCGCAGCTTTGGCGCGGGCCCACCACGACGCCGAGGGCATGGGGTTTTTAGTTCGGGTTTGTCAGGTCTTGAAAAATTGTCGCTCATTGCTTACTAGCAATCACATTCGTTTTAAAAAAAATGTCAACATTTGAAAATGAATGAATGAATGAATGAATGAATGAATGAATGAATGAATGAATGAATGAATGAATGAATGAATGAATGAATGAATGAATGAATGAATGCCCGTACAGAAAAATGCAGTTCGCTTTTAGTTCGCTATCAGTTCGCTTTTAGTTCGCTTAAATTACCCGTGGATTAGTTCGCTTGGAGTTCGCTTCGTCGGGGGATTGGTTCGCTCAGAGTTTAAAAACGACCAAAAACCGAACCGGAAGCGAACTAGTTCGCGAGGGGATCGGTTCGCTTTCGGTCCGCTTGTGAACTGGTAAGCGAACAGTTCGCTTCGACGGCGAGCCACAAAAGAAAGGGCCGACCCCCCGTGTAATGTATGCTTTTGCGTGCCTCGATGCTGGCTGCCGGTGGTAGTCGATCCCTGGTCTTCTGTGATGTGGACTCCTTGGGCTCCTCGTAGTCGACGACGCTAACCACTGCGCTAACCTGAAACATGAGGGCAGGGCCCGCGGGCGAGCCTCTTCACTGGCTCCGCGCAGCTCGGCGCGCGGCACTCCGGTCCATCTCTGTGTGTGCTCTCTGGAGGGCGCATTTATCAAGATAGAAAGATGCGGTTTTCGATGTCTCTATTGGAATTTTACGTAAAATCTGCGAGGCGTTTGAGCACTGCACAAAACACCAAAGAAATCGATGTCCCCTTGGAAGCGCGTTTAAACGTTAATAAAACTGCAGACAGATGAGGAATTGAACAAGTGCGCGTCATTGAGAGCGATGTGTTAGGAGGATTTTACTTCTCACATTGACGCTTTATGCATTTGGCACGAGACGGTACATAAACTGTTACATCGCATTTCTTCTGTTATTTCGCACAAGAAATTAAAATTATTGAAACATTATACTACCAGCATAAAGCTTCGCGCAAAACTTTAAGCAAAATAATTGTAATTTTCAGATTTGTTCCTCCGTGGGGACTTGAAGTTGAAGATCTTTGCCCCCTTAATACTTAACTTGCAATCCCCTTGACGTATTAAAATCGAACACCGACGTCCGAAAGGAATGCCGACTTTATTATGGAGCTAACTTAATACGGCGGAGGGTCCCCCCAACCCCCACCCGTTGCTTGTGAGAGGACTAGTACGTTTTCGGTTCGCTGCAGAGTGAACTAGTACGCTGTTGGTTCGCTGCAGAGCGAACTAGTACGCGGTTGGTTCGCTGCAGAGCGAACTAGTGCGCTAAGGGTTCGTACAGGAGGCGGATTGGTTCGTAAGGAGGTTGCGTCGAGCCTCCTTAGCGAACCCTTAGCGAACTAGTTCGCACTGCCGCGCACCGGATGCGTACTAGTCCTCCGGCACGCGAACCTTTAGCGCACTAGTCCCACCGAAGCGAACTATGAGCGAACCAATCCCTCCTTGAGTTCGCTGACTAAAAGCGAACCAGTTCCCCCCTTCCGAACTAAAAGCGAACCAATCCACAGGGTAGCGAACTAAAAACGAACTGAAAACGAACTAAAAGCGAACTATATTTTTCTGTACGGGTGAACGAATGAATGAATGAATGGATGGATGGATGAATGAATGAATGAATGAATGAATGAATGAATGAATGAATGAATGAATGAATGAATGAATGAAAGAATGGACTTACTTTCACTCTTCACTGGTATAAAACTGAGGCGTATCTTGAAGAGCCTCCTACGCTCTTGCGCACAGAAGCAGAAGCATAACCACACGCCAAAAGCAGTATACGAAGGATTTCCAGGGGGCGCCTGGAATATTGAGCCCCTTTTCCAGGATGGCCCTGGAAATCCCAAATACGGCTGTTGTTGTGCTGTTGGTTTTCTGAATGCATGGGCCTTCAATAAAAGGGCGTACGATTGGTACCCTTCGTGAATCTTGAAGCGATAACCACGCTTTAGTTTTAGCAGTGTTCATTTTACATTTCATACACCCCTTAAAGTGAAGACCTGCTGCTTTAAACATTATTATATTAAACAAATTATCAGAAAAATTCATATGTTTCGTTTGCTTTTGTGGGCGTGAGCCCTGCTTTGGCCTGGTTGACAGAAGTTTGACTGCGGGCGAAAACACAAGCGCGCGCGCACACACACATACACACACACACACACATCCTAACGATAAATATGACTTGTGCTTTTCCTGTTGGCAACTCCTGTCAAAGGGACGGACATGGGGACGTGTTCCACGGGGGGAATGAAAGGCCAACACCGGCTCTGGTGTGTGTATGTGTGTGTCTGAGTATGTGTGTGTCTGAGCATGTGTGTGTCTGTGGGCGTGTGTGCGCGCGCGGTATGTTTGCCCCAGCAGGGGTGAGTGTTTGTTTACATTCGGGGACAATGTCGTCCGATCTACCCCATTTTTATGGAAATTCTTTTGCGGTCGGTTTGGTGGCGGGGACGCACATAAAACTGACTGATATTAAAAGGCTATTCGAATGCCGCATTGTGCGCCACTGCATCGGCCGGGCCCTAGAGGGGCGCGTGCCTGGGGGGACAAAGATTCGCGGCTCGCCCTACAGAAAGGGATATCTACTCCGGGTTCCCCGTCCGACTTGCGGCGGTTTGTCTTTGTCGTCAAGCGAAGACCTTGCACAGAAACGGTTTCGGCAGAGGGGAGGGGTGGGACAGGTCAGGCCTAACTATTGGATATTGACACATATTTTAATGTACGGATTTTACACAAACTTAACCGCACTAGGTAATGGCGTCAAAAGAGAGAAACAGCACCGAACCACAAACAGGGTAGATCAATACGAAAAGTATGCGGAAATCTTACTGTCATAAGCTGGAACGATGTTTGCATCGTCTTATTTTGTAAATCGAAGGTATTAAGACACTTGCTGACTGACATTTGCGTTGGCACTGACCCCTTGAACACTTTGCATTGGTTCTTTATTTTCGTTTTCGCAGAGGCAATGAGCATTGTCCGCTGCTGTTGTCATTTCCAAATGATAATTAAATGGCTTGGTGGAACCCAGCCAGGATAGGTTTCACATCAAAACAACCCGAAACTCACACAATCACAGATGCAGTGCACTGGGCACAGAGCGGCGGCGGCACACGCGCTATATCCACCAGCGTGTCATCCTGGAGGTCTTCTTGAGGCACTTTCACCACGTTCACCAACACGATCACCAACACGTTCACCAACAATCACAACACAAACACTGCACTGCACTATGTGAGGCTCGAGCCACAGTCCCGCGTCACGGGGCACGCCATGGCGGCGAGGGCCTCGACGGCGTCCTCGGGGGGTTCGACGGCGTCCTCGGGGATGGAACGCACGCGGCCGGCCCCGGTGTCAAGGAGAGCGAAGGAAAGCCAAGGTGGGTCGGCGACTGCGGCGGCGGCGGCTGGAAGGCGGTGGCGGTGCTGCGCTCTGGCGGCGCTGCGCTGCCGGCGGTCGCCATGGAGGCCCCCCGTTCGGTGGGAGGGCGCCCGCCCGGCGACGGGGCGCTGGCGCTGCGCTGGCGCTGCGCTGCCGGTGGGCGGGGCCACGGCGCTCCGTGCTGCCGCCAGCCTCGCCAGCCTCGCCAGCCGCCTGGCGGTTGCGTCCGCGGCGTCGGCGCCCCGCGGAAGCGGCCCCGCGGTATCTGTCCGCCTGTACGCAGTGTACGCCACCCACTCGGTGCACCGCCGAGTTCCTCAACGTCTGCCTCCGCCGCACAGTGGGCCAGAAGACCGGTGGAGGCGGCCAAAACTCCGGACGCGTTTTGAGCTCCAGAGTCGCTAAGCAAGCATCGAACCGAACTTATGACCCCACCAATGGATTCCTCGTTCGAAGAGCAGTTCATTGGTGGGGTCACACGTTGGGCTCGAGTCCTGTTTAGCGACTCCGGAGCTCAAAGCGCGTCTAGAGATTCGGCCGCCTCCACCGGTCTTCTGGCCCACTGTGCGCCGCCCTTGCCGCCCGGACGGCAGACTTGATTCCGAGAGTCGTTTCCGCCGCTCCGCCTCTTTCGCACTCACGGGGCGTCTCGTATGAGGGGGTGCCCCCTCCTTTTACCTATCCACGGTCTGGTTTTGTGTTTGGTGTCAGAAAAAAAATCCCGTGGCTAAACTTAAGGTATGAGTGTCTCACTTTAACTTTCACGGTGACGCTTGTATCACAGAATTAAGTTTTCGTTCATTTTGTCAGTTCCTATTTTCGACCCGCGTTGAACTTGAACCACTGCAGCGAAGGAAGAGGGGACGTCCCCGCGTCATGTTTAGTTAAGGCGCGAAGGGGGCGCTGCTGCCGATGCGCA